GAATTGGTGAATACTGTTTCAAACCAACAACTACTTTCACATATCAAAAAAATCTACAAGTTTTGTTTACGGATTGCCACACTCTACTTTCATGCACATTTCATAGACTAAAACAGTATATTCTTGCGAGGCCGCAGCCCGCTCTGAGCATTTCGGGGCCTTTCATCAAGCATGGCCGCCCTAAGTGAAGGTGGTCCTGCAAAATCACATGAGGCCTATTTTTAGTATTTTGTCCTTTCTTAGCAAAATGGGCCCCAGACAGTTACGCTGCGTCAGTTGGTTGAATGGACCCAGGCCGTGGTAACAGTATCCGGTTGAGGGCTTCTAGGCCCTTCCTACATTCTCTGGAAACAGGCCCTGGGCCAGACACGAAGCACAAACTGCACGCAGCACGCACCGCAGTTGGACACGCGTAACCACCCAGGAACCTGCGGAATATTCTGGCCTCAGGCCACTTCGGGCCTACCGGAAGCATCTGGGCAAGGGCCCAGTGCAGCCAGGCAGCACGCAGCTGGCAGGCCACTTCCATAAAGGAAAGTGCCTGCCTCCGCATTGGACATTCGGCACTCACTGCTTATGTGCAAGCGCTGCTGAGCGAGTGCCTACGCGCTCACAGGCGAGCAGGGAAGAAGCAGGCAGCCATAGCCAAGCTAGCCTGCTTGTTGCTGGATGAGGTGCATGGTGGTCTTCGGGTGCATGTGGCATCTGTGTGGAGGATCGGGGTTGTGAGTGAAGCGAGGGACATACCTGGTGCTTGATGCGAACAGCATTGGCCGAGATGTGATCGTACTTCAGGAAGCTGTTGACGTCACCAGCGGCATTGTAGATCTGCCATTTGTAGTCTGGGCGCTGAGCGCCAGATAAGGATTCGACATTGGTTCATTGTTGATGATGATGAGACTATTCCAACATTGTCACTTGTGAGCTTTTGCTGTGCGTTATTTGGTGGAACTGAAGTTGCAATTCTGCTTTTGGTTCGAGGTCAAGACTATCTGGTTTCATGTGTATGATGCTGCTTGGTTTCTGGAATTCGCTATCGCTCATTTTCCTTGCATTCTATTAAACAGTTCAGAATATACATTGTTCTTTTTTTTTTTCAAGTTGCCGGGGGGAGTCGCACTGCCCCCCCTTCGGACTTGGATCCATATCTTGCTTGACCACACACAAAAACCAACCAACAGCTACTTTCACATAGAAAACAATGTACGTGTATCGTTTACGGGTTGCAAAACTCTACGTTCATGCGCATTTCTTAAACTAAATCAATATATTTTGTTAAATAGTTAAGAATATACATGCTCTCTCTCTCTCTCTCTCTCTCTCTCTCTCTCTCTCTCTCTCTCTCTCTCTCTCTCTCTCTCNCACACACACACACACACACACACACTCACACACACACACACACACACACACACACACACACACACACACACACGCGCGTGTGCGCGCACACACTTCACACACGCGTGTGCGCGCACACACTTACACACACACACAGAGCACCATGCCACAAGTCCTCAACGTTTCTAGGAAGTTGTCATAGAAAGTATGTGTCTCTGCTGAGTGGACTATCTTTGATGCCATCACCCGCTACATCGTCTCCTGCCATGTCGCACATGTAGGGTTGGGCATGGACCTGCTGCAACCACAATTGTATATATCTCCTTCATCCTTGCCAGATGAACTATAGACGCTGCAGTCTGAGGAGTAAAATAGACCATTACATGAGCCACCTACAGAGTGCTATACTGTTATCACCACCAGGGCGAGCTGTTGCAAACCATCCCAACAGCTAGACACCCATCGCCTGCCCATAGATAAGGAATAATGACTGTGGAAACCCAATAAACTTGCTCAATGCCACTCAGTGATGACCCACCTGAGATTAGGCTAGCATGTGATGCTTTGTGTGGTGAGGATTATGGAGGCATAAACCATACATTGCCAAGTATTTGTTTTCATGCGTATGATGACAGTTGAAACGGTTTTCACCTTTCTGCAGTCACAGATGCGGGCCCTAGAGTTTGATCCCCAGACCTCACTTTTCCCATGTACAGTATTGAGTCGACCCGCGACTGTTTGAACCCGTGATCTGTGTTTTGGTAGTTGTTTGTCGTCTGTCATAGGTCTGTGTAGTGGTAGGGGTTTGATCTGTAGGTCTGTCGATCAGGAGTCACAGCTCTGTAGAGGTCGTGGCTGTAGATGCTCTGAAAGGTCAAGGTTGTAGCTGCTACAGTCCTGAAAGGTCAAGGTCGTAGCTGCTACAGTACCTGAAAGGCCAAGTCCACAGACTTCCGGAAGGTCCAGAAGTGGCCTTTCAAAGTGTCTCTCACGTTTAGTCAGAGGCAAGTGGGCAAGTGGTGAGCCCAACTGCATTACGTCGGCAGTGCGACTGCATCGAGTTGGCAGTGCAAACCCATGCAGTCAGCGGTACAGGTCCCTGTCAGTCAGAGTCCAGTCAAGCAAGTATTGTGTGGGACTGTGTACACCCAGGGCCTATGAAAGGGGCAGACCAACGAGTTACAGAAGTATAAATCAAGAGGCAGCGCCCAGCCATTCATTCATTCGCTGCGTAAGCCATGCGGAAGCGCTGCTACAGCGTCTTGTGCGAAGGTGGTCTGCAGGTTGCCAGAAGACGAAGTGGGCTGAAGGGAGATCGTAGCCATAGTCAGTAGTGGTAGTGCGGCCATAGCCGCTGTAGGAGGAAGTGAGATTAAGTGTGTGTGTGTGGTGGTATTCAGGGTGATCCAGAGTGAGCGTGTGTGAACAGTGGGGTTCCACACAGTTAAGAAGGTTGGGATGTTCAGGCGCCGATGCGCCGTAGCCTGTTGAAGAGAACTTGCATCTGAACTGTGTTTTTGATTTCCATATCTCTAAGCTTTGAGTGGGCGCCCTGCGCCAGTGTGAATCTCCATCTGTTTGCATGTATGTGAAGTCGAAGTGAAGCGAGTCTGATTGCACAGTCAACATTGCACTCATGTACGGCATCAGGACATGTCATGTCCGATCTGTAGACAAGAGATGGAATGGCAATGCGGTGGGCATGCCTGTGTGTTCCTAGCATGTAGGAGCCACGTAGCCTGTGACATCTGTCTATGCGGATGCAGCAACTGCAACTGCGAGAATCGGATACAGTTCTTACACAGTCCACACCCGAATCGGTCCTCTCCGGTCTGCAGTGGTGGCAACTAACCATAGGCACCAGCAGCTCCTCAACTCAAAATCTCCTGCAACACAAACACTTACTGGGCTCTTGTGCCATCCTAGAGTAGTCTGCTCCAGCGGTGAATAATGAGAACCCTGTGAAGTTTATTTTTCCCTGTTCTGTTCTTTGCCCATCCACTTCCCTCATCTACTGCTTCTCCCTCCCGGTCCCTCGATTCATATAGACCTCCAATCCCCACCCCTTTCCTTCCTCCCTCGTGTACTACCAGTAAATGCATACGAATGAGCATCAGTAAGAGGACAGACAAAATGTAAGCTGAGGATCTGAAGAAAATGAACAGGAGAATACCCCCCTCTCTAATTTGCCTCCTTTAATAAGGTGCAAGTGGGCCGTTAAGGCACACGGGGATGCGGGCAGCAGGCGCTAAACCACAATCGATGTGGCCAGCCTTGTACGTGAGAGGCACGGTAAAAGAGGAGCTGCAAGAACAAATAAAAAGGTGGTAGCCCAAAGAAAGCCAAAGTGAAGACAGTCAAGGAATGGATATAATGCATCTATTCTGCTCCATTTGCTATCGACATAAAACTGTTTCATTGTTGGATTGGCTCGTCTTAAGTGTTCTTCACTGTCTGCAATAGAGGTATAAGCTGCTTCAATTTTGGATCTACTCATCTGGATGGAAAAGGGATTACCGTGGTAAAATATACTCAAGCACACTGATACATCCGAGTCTCCCAGTTCCATCCCTGTGTAACAAATTGTAATTCTTCCCCCTCTTCCCCCTCACCCTCTTCCCACTCCTTCCCCCACCAACCTCTCTCTCTCTCTCTCTCTCTCTCTCTCTCTCTCTCTCTCTCTCTCTCTCTCTCTCTCTCTCTCTCTCTCTCTCTCTCTCTCTCTCGCGCGCGCGCGCGCGCGCATAGAGTAGAGAAGCGTAGCGTAGAGTAGAGAAGCGTAGGGATAGTAGAGTAGAGTAGAGGAAAACAGAGAAGCGTAGCAGTGACGAGAGTGGAGACGAGGAGCGGAACCAAGGCGACAAGCGGAGCCGAGTCGAGGAGCGGAGCCGAGTCGAGGAGCGGACCCAAGTCGAGGAGCGGACCCAAGTCAAGGAGCGGAGCCGAGCCGACGAGCAGAGCTGAGTTGACGAGCAGAGCCGAGTCGACGAGCCGAACCGAGTCAACGAGCCCAGTCGACGAGCTGAGCCGAGCTGAGCCGAGCAGAGCCGAGTTGAGTCGAGCCGAGTCGAGCCGAGCTGACCCGAACCGACCCGAGCCGATTCGAGCCGAGCCGATTCGAGCCGTGAGCCGATTCGAGCAAAGGAGAGTCGAGCAGAACAGAGTCGACGTGAGCAGAGTCGAAGCGAGCAGAGTCAAAGCGAGCAAAGTCGACACGAGCAGAGTCGGCGCGAGCAGAGTCGGCGCGAGCAGAGTCAACGCGAGTAAAGTCGACGCGAGCAAAGTCGACGCGAGCAGAGTCGACGCGAGCAGAGTCGAGTTGAGGGGAGTCGAGTCGACGAGTCGAGCCGAGCCAATTCAAGCAGAGCTCAGTCGAGCAGAGCCAAGTCGAGGTGAGCAGAGTCGAAGCGAGCAGAGTCGAGGCGAAGAGAGTCAAATCGAGCAGAGTCAAGCCGAGGGGAGTCGAGTAGAGTAGAGTCAAGTGGAGTCGAGTAGAGTCAAGTGGAGTCGAGTGGAGTCGAGTCGTAGCGTGGAGTAGAGTGGAGTAGAGTAGAGTAGAGTGGAGTAGAGTAGAGTGGAGAAGAGTAGAATAGAATAGAGTAGAGTCGATTAGATTTTGTTCACGAAAGACTCAATTGTAGGATTGATTAAGAAAGATGCAAAGACAACGATTAATGATGTTTCAGACTTGATGAATGAGATGATGGAGCTAACGGGATTGACGATTGTGCCAAGCACCACTGATCCAGAGATTGAAAGAGAAGGGAAGAAAACTCAAATGATCAGTCCATCGAAGTCACAAATGTTTGTCACTATATTCTCAATCCGAACAAGCAGTTCAATGTTTTCCAACGTAGAAGGAATGCGTACGTTTGACACTGATTGGCCTGAAATCCGACTCCATATTTTCGGTACTAATCCAACGGTCATACTCCCATCTCATGTTTCTAAAAAAACATGAAAGTTTTTGAAAGAGGTATTGTATAGGTATGTTGGAGTATTGAGTGTGCATGATCACGATATCGGTATGAAGAATGTAATCGAGCATGAAATCATTACAGGAAACCATCCGCCGGTTAGTTGCACTCCATATCGATACTCCCCCCCCCAACGGCTTGCCGCATTCCAAAGAGTCAAGGAGTTTGAAGTTAACGGGTAGATCGAACCCATTACTGGGCCTTGGTAATTTCTTATGGTGATTGTACCAAAGAAAACAAGAATTCGAATTTATATTGACTATCGAAAAATGAATGATATCACAATTAAAGATGTTTATCCTCTCTCTCAGATTGATCAATTGTTGGTGGTATTCGATGTGCGCGCTTTTTCAACAACTTTTATGTACGCCATGGATTTCATAACCTTCTTGTCAAAATGGAGGACTGCACGAAAACGGCATTTGTCCTTTTTTAAGGGACCTGACAATGGATGCGATACCCGATAAAACTTTGCAATGCACAGCTACGTTTTAGCGTGTGATGAACATGGCTTTGCAAAATTTTCTGCGAAAAACGCATCTAGCACAAAGCATTATGAACTATTGTATGATTGTATATTTGGATGATATTTTGGTGTACTTAAGTGCCTACGAGGGCACATGCAACACATTGAGTGGATGCTTCATGCATTAAAAGACTCTGGTTTCGAGTTTTCTGACGAGAAATGTCAGTTCTTCCTGACAAAGATCTTTTTTTTTAGCCACGTGGTTTCTGACAAAGGATTGCAGTCGGAACCTCAGAAAGAGAAAGTTGTGTGGGACACGCTGACACACACGTTGCTTACGCAAATTCGTGCGTTTTCGGGGTTGGCCTCATATTATCGAAGGTTTATCAAGGGATTTGCGGCGATTGAGGGACCCCTCACAAATCTGTTGAAGACAGATCAACCGTTGATGTGGAACCCCCAATGCGATCAAGCGTTTCAATAACTAAAGGCGGCTTTGATCTCGGCCGCTATCCTTATGAGGCTGGACCGAGAAAAACATTTTATTATCATCACCAATTGGCAGCCTGATGCGATCTCGACGATCTTGGGCCCAAGTGGGACCAGACGGACTGGAACACGTGGTGGAATATGCTTCCAAGACTATACCTGCCTAAGAGAGGAAGTACTCTGCGCCAGGAGGGGAATGCTTTGCTGCTTTGTGGGGGATCGGTCATTTGTGAGCGTACTTATGCAGCCAAAAATTCACGTTGGTTACCGATCACGAGTCACTCCTGACCCTGAAAAAGTCGAAAGATTACTCGTAAGTCTGTTTGAACGAATTGCAAGTCTGAAACGACGCCTGAAACAGACAACAATAGAACAACAAATAAATAAATAAATAAATGATGCCTCAAATCAAACCCTACGGGCCCAAAGGCTGGTTGTGGGTCTCTTGGGCGTTTCCTTAAATGGCGTGCGGCCTAGGGGCCCCTAGCAACCGCCAGGCCTCCGAAACTGGGTCCGTGTGCAGGCTCGGCATGTAACACTTACCTATGAATGTTATTTAATTGCTCGACAATTTGGTAAATGCTTGACACTATCTTCCATGAGGCTAGTGTAACCATACTAACAAAACTGAGACATTTTTTTGAGAAAGAGAAAGAGGTCTGGGCCTGTGCATTTCCAAAAAAAAAAAAAAGGGTTAGGGCTTGAAACGGGGCCTTGCGCCTGAATCTTGGGTTTGGACCTCGGCATCAAGGTTTCCAAAAAGTCGGCAAAAAAAAAGGGCATGGGCCTGAATCCTGGATCTGGGGAAGGGGGTGCGTATGGGCCTATGTCCTGGAACTGAATCTGACCCTGGGTCAGGGACTTGGGTATTACGGAGAGGCGGACGACAGTGAGCAAAAAAGATAGTTTTATGTGGTAACTTTGATGATTTTTCGCGCTCAGAATAATGCACACAGCAATCTGAAAAAATGCGATCCTGTAGATTAGGTTGTGATCTCCGCAGGAAAAATAACCAAAAGCATCTTAAATTTTATTTTCATCATGAAATGATTCCCGCGCCGTTTAGGCGCATTCACCATTTTTGCCGCTTTGGCACGTGCCGGCCAAGGGGAAAAGTATTGCAATTTTACTAATTTTTCGCGTTCAGACGAATGCGTGAAAAAAAATTAAAATTGCAGGGCCAACCGATTTCGTTTTCATCTTTTCAGTAAAAATATTTTTAAAAATACGAGAGTCATTTTGATCGTGAAAAAATTACCATGCGAATTCGACACTTTTTCCATTTTCGCCACTATGCCATGTGCCGGCCAAGAGAAAAGTACTACATCTTCCGTGATTTTTTTAGCTCAGAAGAAAAAATATGAAAATTTCAGTCCATAGACCGTTGGCTTTCTAGGAAAAATATCTTTAAAAAAAAATACAAATCGTTTTGGTTGCAAAATGCATCACAACGGCAATTCGACACATTTTCCATTTCTGTCATTTAGTCGATTGTCCACACTCTGCAAGGTTAAGGTTTGGATACACAGACACATCCTGACATGACAGCTGCCTGACATAGAATACACTTAAAAAGAAAAGGATTCTCAAAATCACACATGGACCCAATCAGGCCTTTTTTTTTTTTTTTTTTTTTTTGAAAAGCGCTCCATCTATTGGTGGGGAGCATCACCTGCTGGAAACCGGGTCCAGTGTCCCTTATATACATGAAAAATATGGAATGTGTTGTTGTTTTTTTTTTAACAACCTGATCAGCTGCTAGGGGTGCTGATAAGAGCAGACACCACTAGCACCGTCCGGGAGTTTCCATGTGTTGGTGGAGAGCATCACCTGCTGGAAATCGGGTCCAGCGTCCCTGTAGAGTACAATATAAGAAACAAGAGCTATGAAACGAAAGCAATGCAAGTATGAATTGTCAGTATGGGCCTGGAGACCAAGGGCCCATCCCTCCTTCAGATCTGTTCTAAATGTAGACTTTAGTGAGCTGTCGCTCAATAGTGTTACTGTTATACTGTGTCAAATGCGGGGACGCAGCCATTCAGGTAGCATGCTTTATGTCTGTCTCTTATACACATCTAGATGTGTATAAGAGACAGGGCCCATCCCTCCTTCAGATCTGGTTTTTTCCCCCCCCCCCCCCCTAAATGTAGACTTCAGCGAGCTGTGGCTCATAGTGATATTATTATGACCCAGTATTGATATTGTAACCTGTTGATTATCGAATACTATTCATTACTAATTATATAGTCRATGCCAKATGCTGATGTGTCTATGCCTGTATATGTGCTATAGGATGTTGATGCATGCTGTGTACAGGCTGTCTCTTATACACATCTAGATGTGTATAAGAGACAGATGCATGGGCGGGCAGGCGGGTGGGCTATTTTTTCCTTGTCTTTTGCGGCGGGAAGACCGACCGAACCCGCGGCCAAATGATAAAAAACAAAAGGGGCACAAAACAACAAGCGGGAAAAAGAAAAGCGGGGGGCACAAAACAACTGTCGGGAAAACGGAAAAAAGAAAAGGGGGAGCAAAACGACACCCGGCCGCTATCGGATTGCTCTCCTTACAAGATATTCATCCGCATCAACGCCCCCCGGGCGCGTTCTCTCATTGGCACGCTGTGAACATTTCGGTACGTAGACCCCTCTGCATGCTCTCCCGCCCTCGCATTCATCCGCCAGCCCTCACCGAAACGTCAATCCGAATCCAGTGCGCAGCAGACCATAGACCTTTCCCCCGCGGCCAACGCTGCTTAAACCACCAGTACTTGGCCCATACATCGGCCGCGGGGCGTTGCCGTTAATGCCCCGCAACTTCCAGAGGCTCGGGGTACCAGCCCTCAAAGGCTGGAGCAGCCAGCCAAAACAATTTTTTTTTGTTGCACTGGCGGGTCAGCACGAAACGACGCGCAGCACGTTTTCAGGCTCGGCATCGATAGCTGGGCCAAGTACTGGTGGTTTAAGGGGTAGGATAAAAAATATGGCTTCCCGCTGGCATAGGGGGGGGGGAAAGGAAAAGCGTGATATATAGGGGGAATACAGGACAGCATGATATTATTGTCTCTAACCTCAATGTATTCAGTTCAAATTTGAATTGTGATCCAACATGGGAATTGTCTCGGCCTTCTATTTGTGGCCGTTGTTATTAGTATGGTTTTTGGTAGCTTTGTGAGAAGGGGGTACGGTGGCCTATGATTGGAAATGACGATAATCTGGTGATAGAACTGTGATACCCGTGGAATTGCTAGTAGCGGCGTCACCTTGAGCAGTGGGAGTGTAGCGAGGGGCAGTGGGAACGTTACTGGAGGCACGAGAGAACCGGTGAAGAGCAAACTTGAGTTGTACCCATTGTGTCCGCTAAACCACGAAGGACCAAGGGTGCGTGGTGGGAAACCCGTCATGGCAGCTCAGGCTCTTTGCAGGGTGTGGGAAC